CGCCAATAGTCCGGTTGGCACGCTCAGCAATGCCGTTCTGCTGCGGTGTTCCAGGGCAGGTCAGCTGATGTCGGATGCCATTTCTCTTGAGGAACTTGGTGAATTCCGCTCCAAGGAACTCTCCACCTCGGTTGCTCCTCAGCACCTTCTCCAGCCGCATCGCTTGCCGCTCCACCATCGGCAACCAATCCTCCTTGATCGCCGTTGCAGCATCGCTCTTCTTGGACAAGGGACGCGCCCGCGTAAAACGGCTCCATTCGTCCACCATGGTAAGGAAGTACAGCACTCCCCCAGTCCCCTCAGTCCTCATAGGACCCACCAGGTCCATGTGCACCACCTCCAGCGGCGCCTTCGCTGATCCCTTCGCACGTGGAAACAGGAACCGCGCAAACTTGTTTTGCATACACGCCTCGCAGCTGCCATAGTGAGCGCCATCTCCTTGCAGTTGCAGCCCATGCACGCACTTCTCCTTATGCATCACCTCCAGTGTTGAAACAGCCACGTATGCGAGCCGCCGATGCCTTCACCGCCGCGCTTCCTCCAATCAGCTCCTCTCCTTGCACACCTTGCTGCTCCTCCTCGGTGACACTCTCCTCCATAGATGCCACCGCTGCCGCCTTGCCCGATTTCCGCCAAGGGAGGACCGGGATCTGCCACATCCGCTTGTGGACATCTCCCTTCCACTACAGGTCCCAAATGAGGCGCTCATCGTTGTAAGCACGATAGCGCTCCGAGCCAATCGTCTCGGTGTTCACACCCGCATCTCCCAACCGGCCGGTAGAAATCAGGTTCGCGCACAAGTCCGGCACCCACAGCACATTCTTCAGCCCCACGAGCTCTCCATCCGCTCCTATGAACTTGGCGCATCCCATGCCCATGACCTTGGCCTTGGCGCCCGTCGCGGATGTGACCGTAGAGATAGGTGCGGGCTGAATCTCATCGAGTAGGTCCGCACGAGGAGTCATGTGCCAGGAGCTTCCCGAGTCAATCACCCAATGGGTGAGGGGGTGTAGGAGAACCTTGGCAGCCATAGCGAGGTCGGTTGCGCCTTCGTTCACGAAAAAGAAGAACCCGGCCTTCCGCTCCTCAGATTTGCCGCCTTTCTCCTCCTCCTCCTCTCCACTAGCTCCCATGACTCCCCCACTCCTCTTGCCACCATGCAGGTTGCTCGATGAAGGCGGGGTCGAATCCTTGGGTCGTTGGTAGCACTTCCGCCAACAATGTCCGCGCTTCTTGCAGTAGAAGCACACCTCCCCTTGACCCCCGCCGCCATCCTCCTTAGGGTTGTCCTTGTTTTTTGCCCTTCCACTTCTTCTTGAAACCACTCTTTCCACCTCCAACTCCATAGCCAGCCCCCTCCTCCGAGCGCTCCACACTCCGCCGCCGCAAGTCCTCCTCTAGGATGGGCGCGCGAATGTAATCCACGCTCCATTGGGGTTGTTGGGAGTTGAGGTTGATCGCTAGGGCAGACCATGACTCTGGCAGCCGTATCACGATCTCCACGCATTGCACGAGCTCCGGGTACACCACACCGCCTCCTTGGAGCTTCGTGAAGATGTCCCGCATCTCATCCAACACCGGTTGCATCGGCTCTCCATCAACGAACTTGATGTCGCGCAGCCGCCGCGCGAGTAGCACGATGCCGGTAGCATGTGTCGGTGAGTGCACATCCAGAAGCTTCCTCCAAGCCTTGGGGCCACACTCTGGATCACCCAAGAGGTCCTTGATGTGGTCAAGTTGTCGTCCGCCAACCGCTTGCACCATGAGCATGTACGCGTCGAACGATCGCTTCATCCACGCTCCTTTCAGCTCCGCGGCCTCCGGCATTTTCTCCTTTCCTTCCACCAGATCCAATAGCTTGTATTGGGTGTACATCAGCCTCATGCGGAAGCTCCAGTGCTCGTAGTCCTCCCCCATGAATTTCTCAATAGAGAGCGCCTTCACGGGATCCACGGTTGTTGGAGATGGTGTAGTAGACGTAGGTACGTAGGGTTGGCTGGTTGGTGAGTCCCCACTCCTCCCAACCAAAGATCCCTTTATATTCATGTCCCAAGTAATCACCCAAATTAGATATAACCCCAAAAGGTAATAAGAAATCCAAGTCTTGCGATGGACAAAGAACAAAGAACGGGGTCGAGCCACGGTGGACAAACAGCGACGGGTCGGCAGGCGACGAAAAGAAGTCAAGCGATGCAAGAGTCGTACGTAGCGTGTCGTGCCTTTCGCGGGGAGCCTGGCGCAGGCCGTAAACCGGTTGGCACAACTGCCACTGGATCCCAAGAGGGAAAGTGAAGTGAAGCCAGGGGGACGATGAAGCCAGATCTGCTCGTGCAAACTCCCCTGAAGAAACGCAGTGGAGAAGTCCAATGAGTGCAACTCGTTGTCGCGCTGTGCTGCAATATGCAGCAACACTCGAAGAGTGGTCATCTTCGGGGTGGGAGCGAAGGTCTGGAAGAAGTCTACCCCCTTTCGCTGACTGAAGCCTCTCGCCACGTAGCGCGCCTTGTGTCAAACTTATATGCTGCTAATTGTGTAGGCCCATATGGGGTACAACCCAATTAGGGTTAGCACTTGTACCTGCAGAGATAACTGCTACAATGAGAGCTAGACTACGGGCTAGGCACGGATGCTCGTGTGATGTGTGCATTCTCTGTTCCTTAGTCGTTTTCCTAGTGCACACATTGCTTGCTAGGTCACAGGGCAATTTGGCAAGAGTTTTACTAGAGAAAATTGACAACAATAGTATATTGAAGTTGGCAAGACTAGACTACATCAGAGCTAACATTCAGGTTGGTCGACTGCCAGCACAGCATGATCGACCGCGTTCCAGCACGACTTGGTCGACTGCACTCCAGCGGTGCAAAGTCGACGGCGTGCCAACGCTGCAGGTTTACGGTGTGCCAGCGTTGCTCCCGCAGAACAGGAGCGCACCTACTTCGCAGGTGCTCGCATATGATTGGCGGTCTAAGCCTCGTCACTTGCACAACACACACACCGTGTCATCCTCGTACCGACGACTCCACCTAATCCGCCACGTCGACCTTGGGACCCCACCCCCGAGGTCAGCCTCGCCAACATCGCCCGGGCGACTGACGCACTCTTCCACAAGGCCTCGTCACCCAGGTAACCTGGTCGACCGGGCAACCACGTTGACCAGCTGCTCCTGTATGTGCCCGTCGACCTCCCAAGTCGACAACCACTCCAAGTCGGCCTTACCAGGTCGACCACACCCTTGGTCGACCAGCTCCAGGTCGACGTCACTCCTGGTCGACCAGCTCCATGTCGACCAGCGCAGTTGTCAGCCGACCACCCAAGTCGACCTCGCAAGTTGGCGCCGACTTCCAGGCCGACCTCTTGAAGTTGGCAACCTCCCAAGTCGGCAACCTTGCAAGTCGGCGACCTTGCAAGTCGGCGCCGACTTCCAGGTCGAGGCGCCACATCGCCGACCACCAGTTGAAGTCGGCCGCCGGCTTCCCAAGTCAGCGGCATCGCAGTGGCCCCGTGCAAGTCGACCAACCCCGTTGACCAGCTCGCCCAAGTCGGCGTCGCCCATTGCTGCAAGTCGGCTGTACCTCCCGTACACCTAACCACGAAGTTGGCTCCACCCAAGCGCGGACGGGACCAACAACAACTCCCGTTGTCAGTACCCATCCTGCTGTTAGTCAATTCGTTCTCGTTTGTAAATCTGACATGGTTTCATAGCAGGTCCTAGCCTAGGACAGTTTCCTTAGTGCCCACCGAGTAGCGCTACCCCACCCGTCGCGCCACCGTAATTACGCCGCCCTTCCCTGCCCTGCCCTGCGTCGCGCTGCCTGCGCACGCCCTGCCTTGCCCGCGCACTGCCCGCTGCAGCGCGCTCTGCTTTGCCTGCGCGCCCTGTTTGCTCGCGCGCCCTGCTTTTCCACACGCCCTGCCCTTCCTGCGCGCCGCGCCGCCGCTTACCGCAGCGCGCCCTGCCCTGACCGCGCACCATGCCGCCGCGTCGCCCTGCCAACGCGTCGTCCGCCGTCGTGCGCCCTGCCTTGCCCGCGCGCCGCCTGCCGCTGCGCACCCTGCCATGCCCGCGCGCCGCCTGCCGCAGCACGCCCTGCCCTGCCTGCGCGCCGCCTCCCGCCGAGCGCCCTGCCCTGCCCGCGCGCCGTGACGCTGTGCGCCCTGCCCTGCCCGCGCGCCACGCCGCCGCGCACCCTGCCCTGCCGCCGCGCCGTCCTACCTTGCCCGCGCGCCGCATCGCCGCGCACCCTGCCCTGCCGCGCGCCCTGCTCTGCCACGCGCCGCTCACTGGTGCGTCGCCCTGTGCCGCACTACCTTGCCTTACCTGCGCACTGCCCTACTGCTAGCGCGCTTACCTGCCTAGCCCTACCTGCTTGCTCCTCTGCTCCTAGAGCGCCCGACCGCTCTGCCCGCTATGGCCACGCTCAGTGTCCTCACGTTCGATCCGGAGGGCCGCCCGATAGAGTTCGATGCGTGGCTCGACGACTTACAGCAAATTCTTACTAAGCGATTCCAAGGACGGAGTCTCATTGTTTGACCTCACTTCTAGCGCCTCTGTCGCCCCTGTCACCACAGCTGACAGTGTAGTTTGCTCATAGTGGCTTACTCGTGACGGTCCTACTCGTTTCGCCGTTCGCAACCACCTGCCGTTAGCCGAATGCGCTCATTCCGGACAGCACAATACTGCGAAAGCACTGTACGACGCTGTAGTCGCTCGTTACTCCTCTCCGGCCACTGCTGCTATAGGTCGCCTTCTCCTGCCCTACTTGTTCCCACATCTGTCCGCCTTTGCCACAGTAGCCGACCTCGTCACTCACCTTCGCACTAGTGACACTCGCTACCGTGCTGCGCTTCCCACTGAGTTTCTCACCAAGAACCCTCCTCCCATGTACATCACTCTCTACTTCATAGTCACCCGCCTCCCTGACTCTCTTAGCGCTATCAGGGACCTGTTTCTTGCTCTTGACCCCACCGACCTCACTGTCGACCTGCTGCCGAAGCACCTCCTAGTAGATGAGACTAGCATAATGGCTGTAGGCACTTCTCGTGGCACTCATCGCACTCCCTTCTTTGAGGGGTGTTCGCCCTCCCCCCTTCTCCCCTCCGTCGCCTCTGCTGCAGCTGTTGACTACCTTCGTGCTGAGGAGGTAGGAGCCGCGTCTGCCCCTAGTGGGAGGCGCCGCAACGACTGGGGCAGGGGAGGCAGGGGCGGTGGGGATGGCAGAGGTGGAGGCGGCGGTGGAGGCGGTGGAGGGGGCGGCGGTGGCGGAGGGAGTGGTGGTGGGGGTGGAGGTGTAGGTGGCGGCGGTGGTGGCGGCAGTGGCGGTAGTGGCGGCGGCAGTGGTGGCGACAGTGGGAGTGGAGACGGCGGCAGTAGTTGATGAGCGGGGTGGTGCTAGTCGGAGGGGAGGCCTTGGCGGTGGTCAGAGGCAGCAGCAGCAGCAGCGTTAGCTTTCGCCCCAGGAGCTACGTGAGTGGTTTGCTCAGCGTGGGGCGGCTGGGGGTAGTGGTCCCTGCCCGTATGTCATTCGCGCTAGTGACCGCACTGGTCAGACATGCGGGATGCTCCACACCTAGTACCGCTACTTCTCTCATCTTCCCAAAGCCTTCCGCAAAGAGTTTCCCGACGCCGCTGCGCTCCCCCGCTGGGCAGAGCTGCTTAAGCAGGGTGTAGGCATCTTTGTTCTTGATTATGATGCTATCCTTTCTGCCATGTATGCATTGACTGTTAGTGCTGAGGGTGACTGTTACCTGTGTATGCCGCCAAACTTAGGTAAAGAGGCTGCTGCTCTAGGTGCTAGTGAGTATGCTGCTCTAGGTGCAAGTGATTCTCACCTCTCTGGTACTGAGTCTGCTGCGGCCCTCCACACCTTCACGCTTGACTCAGATGCTTCCCACTATTTCTTTCGCGACAGTACCACAGTCACACCGCTCTCTACACCTGTTGCTGTCCCTCTCGCTGACCCCTGTGGGGGCCTAGTCCCATTCTGGCCCCGTGTCTCCTTGCCGGAGACCTCGCCTACACTGCGTTGGACGGGAGAGGTTGGCGATGCGTCGGTGTTCAGGGTCTGGGGATGTCGGGCCTTTGTCCGCGATACTTCCGAGGACAAGCTCTCCTCCCGTGTCGTTCCCTGTGTCTTCCTTGGCTTTCCCTTGATGCGCCTGGCTGGCAGTTTTACCACCCCACGCGCCGTATCCTGCCCTCTCAGGACGTCACGTTTGACGATTCGGTTCCCTTGTACCGACTCGTCCCCTATCGCACTGTCCCTCTCCCTCCCTCGCCGCTCTTCCTCGCACCTGATCCTCCTCAGGTAGACCCCCCCCCCCCTCAGGGTCCTGCTCCCTTAGGTGTGTCCCAGGTAGACACTGGTGCTACTAGAGGTGCTGCGTCTGGGGGAGCTGAGCCTGCGGGTGCGGGGCCTGGGGGTGCTGGGCCTGAATGTGCGGAGCCTGGGGGTGCTGAGCTTGAGCGTGCAGAGCCTGGGGGTGTTGAGCATGGGGTTGCTGAGTCTGAGGGTGCGGAGCCTGGGGGTGCTGAGCCTGCGGGTGCAGAGCCTGGGGGTGCTGAGCCTGAGCGTGCGGAGCCTGGGGGTGCTGAACCTGGGGGTGTTGAGCCCGAGTGTGCTGAGCCTGGAGGCTCTTCAGGTGTCTTCTTACGGCGGGAGTCTCTCTCTCCACTGCAGCTGCGCGAGTGGTTTACTCTGCGCTGGAGCCTCCGAAGTGGTGCTACTGGAGCTAAGGGGCCTGCCGCTGTACGCCCTGGGGCTGGAGGTACTACTGGAGCTGGAGCTGCTAGAGCTGGAGGTGCTGCTGGAGCTGGAGCTGCTGGAGGTGCTAGAGCCGCTGGTCCCGGAGGTGCTCGTACTGGAGGTACTGGAGCTGCTGGAGCTAGAGGTGCTGCTGGAGCTGAAGCTGTTGGAGGTACTGGAGCTACTGGAGCTGGTGGTAGATTAGGCGTTGAAGCTGGAGACCCTCGAGCTAAAGGTGCTGGCCCTTGGGGTGCTGGTGCTGTGGGAGCTGGTTCTAGAGGCGCTGTACGGCCGCGACCGTACTTCGTTCCACTCCTTCAGCAGGTTCTTGGTCTCCCGCCTTCTGCTGGCCTTACTCCTCCCTTACTATGTCCACCGCCTGACCTATCACAGCTGTAACTACTGCTAGCCTCCCCACTGCCGGCTCCTTCTCCTTACACTCGGTAGTCCGGAGGTCTTACAATGCATCGTGAGCCTGGGTCTCGTCCTGCATCGCCTGTTCGCGCTGTTCACACTGGTCGTTGTGCTCCGCGTCGACGTCCTCCTCCTGTCCCCGGCACGCACCACATGGCACTGCGTCCTTCCTCTATTCCACTGCGTGTCCCTCTACCTTCTCCCCCTGCTTTCTCCCTTGCTGACGGTCCGGACCCGGAGTCAGACTCACTTTGTGCTGCCAGCCCTACTGTCCCGCGTCTGCTAGCTACTGTTGTCACTGACCCTTCCTTTGAGTCCACTGCTGCGTCTGCCTTAGTTGCTGAGCTTGTCGACTTTGCTGCTCGCTGTTGTCTCGACCACGCCGCTAGTCTTCTTGCTGAGTCTGAGTCTGTCTGTCCTCCGTCCGTCGGGGGTGAGTGTGCTCTTGGCGCGGACGTTCTTGAGGACAAGCAGGAGGACTTTGAGTGCTTTGCAGCTGTTGTACCTCATCTCGTGTCCATGCTGATTGCACCTGAGGGAGACCCGGATGCACCAAACATCCCGACCCCGCACTCTTACGTAGAGGCGATAGAGGGTCCCTACTCCTCTCAGTGGCAGTCAGCCATGGACACAGAGATGGCATCCTAGAAGTCCACAGGCACTTACGTCGACGAGGTTCCCTCACCTGGGGCGAACATCGTCAGTGGCATGTGGATTTTTAGGGCGAAGCGGCCGCCGGGTTCTTCGCCTGTCTTCAAGGCGCGTTACGTTGCTCGAGGCTTCACTCAGCGATAGGGAGTTGACTTCTTCCAGACCTTCTCCCCTACCCCGAAGATGACCACTCTTCGGGTGCTGCAGAATGTCGCCGCTCAGCGTGACTTCAAGCTTCACTCTCTTGACTTCAGCACTGCTTTCCTACATGGCAGCCTGCACGAGGAGATCTGGCTGTGCCGCCCATCTGGCTTTACTGGGTCGTTTCCTGCAGGTACCTAGTGGAGCCTCCGGGGGCCACTCTATGGTCTCCGCCAGGCGCCTCGCGAGTGGCAGGACACACTGAGGACGACGCTTGCGGCTCTTGGGTTTGCTCCTTTGACTGCTGACCCGTCGCTGTTTCTACGCACCGACACTTCGCTGCGGCCGTTCTGAATCCTTGTGTACGTCGACGACTTGGTCTTTGCCACTGCTGACACTGCTGGACTCGCCCACGTGAGTTCGGAGCTGCAGAAGAGACACACGTGCACAAACCTGGGTGAGCTGCGCAGGTATCTCGGCATGCAGATCACCCGGGACAGAACACAGTGCACCATTACCTTGACTCAGTCACACATGGTGCAGCAGGTCCTTCAGCACTTCGACTTCCAGTACTCCTCGCGACAGGCCACTCCTCTGCCTACATGTCACTTGCTCTCAGCTCTACCTTCAGATGAGTCCTTAGAGCGGAGTGGCCCATATCCAGAGCTTGTGGGCTGCCTCATGTACCTGATGACCTGCACTCTACCTGACCTTGCTTACTCTCTTAGCATCCTGGCACACTACGTTGCTCCCGGGAGACACCGTCTAGAACATTGGAAGGCCGCTAAGAGGGTGATGCGCTACTTGTGCAGTACGTCGGGCATGGGGCTCGTGCTTGGAGGACGGGCTCGAGTTGTCCTCACTGGTCATGCAGACGCTTCTTGAGTTGACTTGGCTATGCAGCGATCGTCACAGGGTTACACCTTCAGCCTTGGCTCTGGCTCTGTTTCGTGGCGGTCTACCCGCTCGTCTTCTGTTCTCAGCTCCAGTTGTGAGGCTGAGATCTACGCAGGGGCCATGGCTGCACAAGAGTTACGCTGGCTCACCTACCTGCTGACCGACATGGGAGAGCCGCCTCGTTCTCCTCTAATTCTGTACATAGACAACAAGGCCATGATTGCCTTGTGTCAGGAGCACAGACTGGAGCACAGAACGAAGCATATCGCTCTGCGTTAGTTCCTTGCTTAAGAGTTGCAGCAGCGTGGTCAGCTTCGTCTTGTCTACGTGGCCTCTCAGGCCAACACTGCTGATATCTTCACCAAGGCACTTGAGCCTTGTGATCATCAGCGTTTCTGTACTGTTCTAGGCCTTGCGCCTACTTTGCCTCACTTGCTCACTTCTTGATTTTGCCTGTACTGTGATCTATATACGTATGCCTTCATGTTTACACTTGCTAGGTTGTGATCACTGTACTGCTTGTTCTCCTATATATATTTTCGTATAACTCTGCATGTGAACTGGCCTTGTGGTCATTTGCTTGTGCTCAGACTGCGTGGTGACTTCGTGATCCGCCTTGAGCATGCTTTGCTTTTCTTGACCGGTCTTGTGACCTCTTGTTCTCTCCCACTTTGCCTATGGGGGTGTGTCAAACTTATATGCTGCTAATTGTGTAGGCTGTAGTGGGGTAGCCCATATGGTGTACAACCCAATTAGAGTTAGCACTTGTACACATCCTGCTGTTAGTCAATTTATTCTCGTTCATACTACTTACACCTTGATCACTGGTGGCGCTCCAGGCGGCCTCTTCACCTTGTATGTGAGGATCTGGTTCTTGAAAGATGAATCTATTGAATGATCCACCTGGGTACAAGGCGAGGCTATATATAGGCTCGACACAAAGGCAGTATCCCCGATGTTACTAGAAGGTTCCGCGGGCCGCAAAGCGTTCCGAAGAGGTCCTTCCCGAATTTGGTAGAAGGCAATTCGGTGGCAACCGAAAAGCCTAGAATCTGGTGCACTCAACCTAGTTCGGTGCCTATGCCTATAATAACCATAGTAAAAGAAACAAACCTATGAAATCAAGCAAAAGCATGCAAGATAAGATAAAGCCAGGTAATTAATAGCATAATAAAGTCCAGGCAAGCTAGCAAAGCCAGCATAAGCCATCGTACTCTCACACGTCCCCCCATCAAAGCTGGGTGGCGTGAGAAACACCCTACTTGACAAGATTGTCCTTGAGAGCACGGCGTGCGTTGCCCATATCAGCTTCTGCAACCCAACTGTCCTCCGATGGGTCATATCCCTTCCACCGTATCACGAACTTGAGCGTGTTGCCACGTCTGCATCAATGAGCGAGCACTCGTTTCACCTCGTACACCGGTTCATCCTGTACAAGAACAGGTGGTGATGGTGGTAGCTGCCGTCCCTGGAACTGTTGGTTGGGGTCCTTGTAGGGCTTCAATAGCTGAACATGGAAAGCGTCGTGAAGCTTCCACGTAGTAGGTAAGCGCAATCGGAATGCTACTGGTGTCACCTGTGCCTCAACGCGAAAGGGACCATAGAAGCGAGGCTGGAGCTTGGACGGAAGGTGACATAAGTCCAAGTTGCGTGTGTCGAGAAGCACCTAATTTCCGACTGCATTTGAGTGATCTCGTCGCTGGCGATCGGCATACTGCTTCTGGGAGTACAGCATCGTGGAAA